AGAGGCCATGTAGGAGTACATGGTGGGTTGTTTCATTGAGACCGTCCATAAGAACTGAGATCTGTATGCATGATTTAAGATTCAGCTACTACCACACATTGGGCCCTGAAATATGACCCCGCTCGACTTACTGACCCCTCTCGCCCTCTGTCCAGGAGTTGCAACTAGTTTCTGGTGTTTGTAGGACATGTGTTGGCGGCCGTGCGTAGCGCTGACCCTAGGGGTGGGCTATGATGCGGTAGGTACACTGTGGCCGGGTATGCCTGGCGCCCGTTTGGCGTCTCGGGACCCTGTACACATCGTTTGGGGCCGTTGAGGACACCCCGGCCGGATTTCCTTGCGGATGGAACCTGAATAGGCGATAAACCTAGACTAGAGACTTGTGAGGTTAGTCAGGTCGTGGTCTACACCCACGTCGGTTTTCGCTTGAAGTCTGCCGAGCACATGCCGTGTGCAGACGTTAAGTGGTGGAAACATGTGTGACGAAGTACACCCCTGCAGGGTATAAAACTATTCGAATAGCCGCGTCCGCGGTAAAGGACTACTTGGTTGCCTATGCAGTTCATAGACAAGTTAATGGATACTACTAAAAGACTCAAGATAAGTGTGAGTACCGAGAATGGCCCTCTCGTAGGATCACGAGGGAGGATCGTCGGTGGAGTATTGTGTTGGTGAGTAGTGGACTCGTGTGCGAAAACTATTTTACTAGTGGAGTTCCGTAGGATAGCTTAGCCAAGAGTCAAAGCTGGCTTGCTGCAATAACCCCACCTCCTTCTTGAGAATAAGCATTTATAGTAGGTTCTGTTGTAAGACTTGCTGAGTACCCTTGTACTCATGTTTGCTTAATTACTGTTTTCGGACGACAACACCGCCCCCTCCGATGGGTTCTACGTAGACCTTGATGTCGACGAGTGACTAGCCACCCAGGTGGTGATCCTGGCCATGGAGGGCCCTATGTAGATAGACAGGCTTCGAGAAACTTTCTTTCTTTCTAGTGTCTGTACTCAGACTAGTTGCTTCCGCATGTGCTTGTATGATTGTATGACTTGAGTGTCAGGTCATGTGACCCCTATCTGTATGAACATGTTATGTATGGCTCTCTGGAGCCTTTAAATAAAGTACTTGAGTTGTAGAGTTTTGTTGTGATGCCATGTTGTATGTACTCATATCAGGCATATTGTGTGTATGATTGAAATGCTTGGTATGAGTGGGATCCGACAATCTAGTTGTTTATCCTTGGCAGCCTTTCTTATGGGGAAATGTAGTCTAGTGTTCCTCGAGCCATAGTAGTCCGCTACAGCCTGGTTCACCGGAGTCCTGCTAGCCCAGCACTACTGTTCAGGACACTTGACTGGCCGGCATGTGTTTCACTTCGTTCCTATGTCTGTCCCTTCGGGCATGTGTTTCACTTCATTCCTATGTCTGTCCCTCCGGGGAAATGTCACGCGGAGACTTCCGGAGTCCTGTTAGCCCAGTGCTACAGCCCGGAATCACTCGCTGATGATCGACATGCTCGATGTGATTCATGTATGCCTGTCTCCATAGGTCTGTGCCGCTTTGGGTTCACGACTAGCCATGTCGGCCCGGGTTCTCTGTCATATGGATGCTAGCAACACTATCATATACGTGAGCCAAAAGGCGCAAACGGTCCCGGGCCATGGTAAGGCGACACCCGTGGGATACCGTGCGTGAGGCCGCAAAGTGATATGAGGTGTTACCGGCTAGATCGATGTGGCTTGGAATTGGGGTCCTGACAGTGAACAACACTCGGACTGAACTCGAGCAAAGGGTATAATCTAGGTAGAAATAATCTTGCTCGGTAAAGGGAAAAGTATTCATATAAGCAATACCTACACCAGTTTTCTTCTGGAAACAGAATTGAGAACAACGAGGTGGTGAAACATAGAGCAAGTATTGTAGCACAAGGGTTCACACGGATACCCAACTATGCTCTAGAGATGGAATCTCTTTCTGATAACTTATATCATTGGCAGTACAAAATCATCTATCTATGCAGTTGATAGATGTAGTGATTACATATCCATGTCGATCACTAGATTCAGACATAGATGGTTCCCAATGGAATCTCACTTCTGAATCGAAATGCAAAACACAACATACAGTGTGTAAAAAACCAATAAGTCACTATATGAGTTATTGTTGTTGGTACATTTTGGTACAACTGACATAGTGAGTTTCTTATACACAAGGATTACTCCTACAATGATGATTACCCATGCATGTTTGTCATACACAAGGATTACTCCAGCAATGACAAAGCACATGATCATCTTAATGATGGATTTTGAGATGAAGGATTGGGTAAAACCTCAATCACCTTCACTCATACATTATGGTACGCTATGTTGTCTATATTCAAAATATGTTGGGGAAATTCATTGTGGACAAATCTTATGCATCCATAACTCGCATGGCTTCATTCTCTAGACATAGAGAAAGATCCATTAAAACCATGAGTTGATGAGAATGCGATATTGGGACATAACATAATTGGTTGGGGCTCAAGAGTATCTTTGATATCTCCATGGCATCAAATAGCTTGTCCTAGTTTTCAGTTCAGAGAAATCTGGACACCAATATCATTGGATAAATAAATCAGATCCCCACTATGTTAGATCATACACAACCTTTGTGTTCCTCCTAGGTGTGGTAGCCATACCATGAAAGTCTTTGAAACATACCTTTGTGGCTACATCCACCAACCATTTTCTCAAATATAATGTTGCTTGTGTTGTCTGGATGCAAACAGGGTACATAGTAAGCAATATCTTTATATTGTTCATCTTGCAAGTCAAATCATGTGACAACCTGAAGTCTCTGCCAACTTCAACATTCTAGAAACATGTTCATGGAATTGGTATTTGATGGCTTCAAGATATGCAAGTATCGAGGGAGTATCTTCCTGAATTACCCCTAAACTACTCATGTTCAAAGCACCATATTATACTCCTTTTCCCTTTATGAGTTTACTTTTACAAGTTCTCATCAAGGTTTTTAATGAGGTAATATCAACATGAGATCATATGTCATACTTTCTGTTTTCCCCACCGAGGTTTTTATGAAAGTATACACGACATATTTATTGTCCTCTAAAATCTATGGATTTTCCCATATTGAGTTAAAGAGACAATTATCATGATATGTCATATCTTTTTGTCCTTATATATTTTTCCCATTGGGTGTTAAAGGAGTTTTCAATGACATATGAGATCGCACTCTTTTCCCTTATGAGCTTTCCCTCGAAGTTTTTCATAAAAGGTTTTAACGAGGCGACATATGCAATATTTTCTATTTTTTCCCACTGGTTTTTTAAAGGTAAGTATACAAGGCATATTTATTGTTCTCCAAACTCATCAATGAGTTTTCTCCTTTCTCAAAGGTTTTCTCATATGAGTTATCAAGAAGACAATAATCATTATATGTTGACTTTTTCTCCTTATTCTTTTTCCCATTGGGTTTAAAGTAGTCTCAGCAACATATCTACTCTATTCTCCTCATATTTTTTCCACGGGGTTTTGGGGAAGACTCTCAAGATTATACGAAAGATTTCTAAAGATGGAAGATCTATGTACAAGAAGTTTTCAATGATGAAACATTCAAGGAGCGGTGTTGTACAAGGGGGAGTGTTAGGAGCGGGGGTGCCTCCGAATAATCAATAGAAATCCGGACTAATCATCAATTCACTTTCAATCTCCCTTTACTTTCATTTTACTCTAACATAATTGATTGGATATCCCGCATAAGGAATCGAAAAAAGACACGATGTTTTATTCTAGGGAATCCCTAACGAAAAATGCACACTATTCCCCTCTTTTCTATCAAATCGGTCATAACCACTACCTACATTCCACAAAATAGTAGTACACCACTAGGAGCAAATACATGCTCTAAGTACAACTAGGTGAAATGACTACGGTTTACATGATGAAAAATTATATTTTTGAGAATTATACAGTTTGAGGATATGCTATAAAGGCCTTGATCCCTCAAAACCTAAAATTTCCCCTTAAATATAACATTTGGGGAACCTGCATGAGATGTTACTTTGTGTTCTAGGCATAGTTTCAAAAACTAAACTCGTTTCAGGTTTTTACTTGTCAGACCGTCGATTCATCGGTATTTGCAACAAAAAAACAAATATTTAAGGTGATTATTGAAAATTTTGACCACATATAATATTGTATGTAAACCATTAATAAATCATGAAATGTTATTAGCCTAATTGGTTATTGGGCCTTTAGCATGTCTTGCCTCAAGGTTGCCTAATTTTTAAAACATATTTTTGGTTTTACTAAGAGACCGGTACATATTGAAACAAACTTGGCGCCAGTTTCCTGTTTTTCTGGTCGGACCGACAGTTTAGCGCGGTTTTTAAAACTATATATATGCCTCGAGGTAGATTATGCCCACATGCACGTCAGGCCGAAAGGAGCAGTAAAATAATCTGTTCTCGGGATATGGGATGGGCCAACAGGGCAAGAGAGGAACAACATATGCCAACATGTTCTTTCAAGACTTCCAGAAAATTTGCATGCTCTCAAAACTACACACCTACGAAGCCATTGAATAATACAAATATAGAGAATGACAATGTAAAATTCTAGATGATGACCCTGCAAAGTATTTAAATCAAGTATAAAGAAAGCAAAAGGCAAACTACAAGGCGATTGATAATTTCTAAAACCAGACTCTGAACAGAGCAGTCACAAACGAGCTTGATCTGCATCCTCCAAAATTCTCCAAGGTGCTGAAAAAAAAGGACAGCAACAAAATTGCATGAATGCAACTGTGTGATTGAAGGAAAATGATCCATATCTTCTTCCTGATTAGAAATGCTTGCATGGAGTTCCTATTTCTTTTTAGGAGAGATACCACATCCCATATATCTCAAGTCATAGGGTAACAAGATAAGGTAGTTCACTTACATTTCTGAGTATTACATTTGGATTGCATCTTCACCACCACTCAGTACAACAGAGCTAATTTTCACTTGCTCTTAACCATTCAACAAAATTGTCTAAAATTAAAGGCCAAGCTTGGTCTGCATCATAATTGTCAAGTGATGGGAAGTTTATCTGAATGAAATGTGATTCAGCGTTAGTAGTATGAGAAGGAAATGTTATTAAGTACTGTACACAAAAAGGAAGCAAAAGGGGAAAAAAGATGCTGGGACATGGGGTTGACGTTTAAATCATGACCTCATTGCAGAACCGAAGAAATCCCATCCATTGATCCATGTTTATAACCTTGTACTCATTTTGATGCTGAAACCCAAACTCACATAAATAAGCACATCAACCAAAATACGAGTCCCTTAGATGAATGGGACCAATAAATTAAAATATTGAATCAACCGTTACCTTAAGGTAATTAATAAGTTTTTCAACCTGCGGGCGGAACTGCAAGCTCAACACTAGATTCAATAACTCACAAGCAACAGGTATTTCTATACACTTCTTCTTGTCCTCTGAGCAAGCACAAGTGCACAACCAAGTCATAAGTATTTATCAAGGAAAAAAATGTGTCATAAGAATAGCAAGTGTGACTACCTGTTAGGCAATAACGGAACGCATATGGATAGAAATCCTGGAAATTAGAGGACCTCGTAACCTGGTTTGTAAAGAACACGTTATGAGCAAGCCGGTTACAGTACAATTAAAAGTATCATCGTTTAATGGTAGCTCATTGTTCCATTCCCATGACAAGCCTTCCGTACTCAAATTCTGTTTTAACATAACTAGTAGGGCCCATCATAGGTAATTTCCACCCTTAGAAAAGTATAAACCTTTCAAATATATTTAATATACTACTCCCTCCGTTCCTAAATATTTGTCTTTTTAGAGATTTCAAATGGACTACCACGTACGGATGTATATAGACATATTTTAAAGTGTAGATTCACTCATTTTGCTCCGTATGTAGTCACTTGTTGAAATCTCTAGAAAGACAAATATTTAGGAACAGAGGGAGTAGTTACTAAATATTTGTGGAATAGAACACTCACTTCTTGGACCAGTTCAGGAAAGGCTTTCTTCAGTTTACTGATGCTATCAGCTCGCAGAGCTTTCATCCCAGTTCTCCATTCATCCTATCAACAGAGTACTACCAGTCAAAAATCAGAAAGACAGTGCGATATATCATACCAATAAACATTTTGAACAGTTTAAAAAATATAATGCATACCAGAGTAAAATAACCTTGCTTTTCACAGCCCATTTTCCTGATACAAGATAGATGTCCATTAGATATTTCGGTAAATGATATCACCACTAAAGAATTTTAGAGAACAGTGACATACCATGCTAACATCAGAATCCGAACATCTGTATGTGGAACTTCAAGATGAGAGCAGAGTGTTTCGATGCCTTCTGGGCTGTTCAGGCAGGTTAAAAAAAATTGGAATAATGTCGAGCAACAGTTTCATTGGAGCAAACAATGGGGGCAATATGGTGGTGGTGGTGGGAGGGGGGGGGGAGGGGTAACACAATAAAACCCTGATGTCTCTACCAAAGATGAAATTATAGCATTAAAGAATCATTAACATCTAGCTGCATCAAAATGGTATGTAAAACTACCAATACACATTTTCGTGAATGGGATTACATAACATTGACAACTATTACATCACAATTTACAATGATTCATATAAAACAGCTCGTATTTTTACCATGTGCGATAATTCCCTAATTGGAAGGTATACATAGAATTTCTAAATGGAAGGATGACCACCATGAGTATACAGCAAAAATAATGACAGGCAAGTGTTTGAGAAAAACTGTGAAAAAACTTACTCAATCATGCTGGATGAGCCATCAGCATATGTATAGAAAAGTTGGTCAATCCGCTCTATTTCCTTTGAAACCGCTTTAGTGGGAACTGGAGATAATAATGGAAATGTTATTACAAATAGATCCAAGGAACATGTGGTTTCCTATCAATATACAGTATCTTGATTTTGCATACCACATACCATATGATAGAATTTAGCTTGCAAGCAAAAATTATGCATTTGGTATTTCTAATGTGCAAACAAAACTTGTGCATGTGGAAGAAGCAGAAGTAAGGAGAAGACCAACACATAGCTTGACATAAACCAAATGACTGAATAACACGCACATGCACATTCTTACACCCAGATGGATAAGTGTATAGGGTTCAACAAGTAATTCAGAAAGAAAAGGAATCAATGCATCTCACCACGTTGTGCTTTCCTGCTGGTCAGGTTTGTACTGACTCCTTTTCTTTTTCTGTTTTGTTTTTCATTTACTTGTTCCTCACCTAAATATAATCGTTTGCTTAGTACTCATTCAGATATACATACCCTCAAAAGAGAATATGATAGCTCCTACACCAACCCATTTGGAAAAAGAAGTAATGCGACAACAAATTTAAAGAGAAGGTAAGAATCAAGAGTTCAATACACAAACATTTTAATAACCTAAAAAAGAAAACCTATTAGGACAAAGTTTGAGCCAATGGGCAGCTATTCTAGTTGCTTATGAAACTTCTATGTATACACACGCAATTTCAAGATAAGCTTCTTAATCTGTCTTTTACATTTACTGGGGTAAAATTCAGCACTACAAATTACAAAATGGCACTAAAACCCCATGGGAGCAGCAAACTAACCACCAAATGAGTAAGTTGAAGTAATCACTTGAGATATGTAGCAAGACAGCATGTAGTGATTAATCATTCCAATAATAAGGGACTACATAGGAGCAAAATGAGTGAATCTACAAACATATGTCTATATACATCCATATGTAGTTTGTATTGAAATCTGTAAAAGGACTTATACATCCATATGTAGTTTATACTAACCTGATTTCTGTAGTCACAGAAAAAAGGTAAAGATTTACCGCACAAGATACATGGCGAATTTATGTTATTAGTGGTGTAAAATTGATGCAAAGACAACAAATCACCGCGGAGATTGCAGAGCTGAACCAGAAACCCAGAACACGGTGTTAACAGGTAGCTGCTCTTTAGATTTTACTTGCAAAGCGTTTCGGCATGGGTAGGCACACAATTAATAAACCTATGAATTGCCATCTGCTTACATTACGAATGTAAATCTGCTAGCGAATCCACACCCAATTCTGCACCAGGCGATCCAAACCCAGGATTCAGCTCCTTCTCTTTACCACCATGACAGATTCCCAAACCCTGAATCTACCCCGACCCTTCCCATCCCGTAACAAGCGATCCGAACCCCACATACCGGCAATCAACGAGTCGTACCTCGTAGGCTTCCGCACAGGACAACTCAAGATTGGATCTTCCCGAGACAACGCACCACACGGAATCTCGCAAGACAACGAACGGACCGGGGACCTGCCGAGGCCACCAGCAAGGCCTCGCACGCAGCCTAATCACGAAACAAGGAAGACAACCAGGGGAGCGGGGATGGGGGTCGGGGTGGGGGTGGGGGTTGAGGGGAGGAGCATTACCGGCCGCGGCGGACGATGACGACGACTTCTTGGAGGAGCGCCTCATGGTGGCCCGTCCTCTCACCTTCTC